GGCTTTTCTAAACTGATTTGTGTAGACTTAGTGCTTTAAATTATGCATTATTAACTTAACAGACACTTCACACCACGAGTTAGCTGAACATAAATATTTCAGTTGACAAGGGAAAGAAGGTGAAGTGATGCTTACTGAAGGCACAGGTCTGAGTACAGAAAGCTGGAATATAATTTTTGACTTCCAATAGTTTTCATTTATCAGATTACTACACTATTGTAAAAATTACCTTCTTATCAAGACATAAACTTTGTATTGGTTAAAGAGGTCCTGAAAAAATTCTGCATCTCCTTGGCTTTCACTGAAGTTTTAGGGCAGTTTTTCATTAATCTGTCTTATCTTAAGTCCTTAGGAAAAGACAGAGTCCAACTTAGAAGGAGTAAGATGACAAAAAGGAGGCCCAGAGAGGGAAGACAGAGCTGGTACTGTAACCTCAGATTTTTGACTCAAATATCATATCACTAAATTCAATGGCAATTACTTGCTAAAGAGAAACAGATTCAGAAACATTGTCCAGAATAGGTCTCTTACAAAACCCAGCCACCAACCAAACAAAAAACCCCAAACAAATAGATATAAACATATATCCCCACACATCTTTCGACCAGGTCGAAAGTAACCTGATTCTACTCAACTGTTTCATACCTCCAAAAATAAAAATGCAAACCTCAGGAATGTACTTACAGGTAGCATGGATGATTATAAAATCTCCTTTTGCATTTAGAAGGTCAAGATACTAACTCCCCTACTTATAGCATGGGGAGAGATGGTGAGTAGAAGGAAGCAAAGCTAAAAAATAGAAGGGCAGTTTCGGAGTGCCCCAGCCTCAACAGCCATTGATCAGACTTTGCTGTGAGCCCCATTCATTCTTCTCAGCTGCCTTGAGTTTTGTTGAGAGAAGCTTTTCAGGCCCTTTGGGTAGGTTGGGACAATCTATGAATTTGTTCTCTTTGGCTTGGTGTGACCTCTCTGGAATGCATAAAGCTCAGAAGGTTAAAGCAGAAAGGATTTAAGGAAAGAAAAAGATGGCCTCTGGAAAGCAAAGAGAGTTCTTTCTGTTCTTCCTCCTTTGTCCCTTAAAGTGCTATATCTGTGTACTCTGGGTGGGCTGTAGCACCTGACAGCTGACAAAACACCACAGCTCTGCAGCCAAGCCCTCCCTCCACACACAGCAGAGAAGCCATCAGCTGCTGCTCTATTTGGGGTAGACCTGGCTATGATGTACAGGGTGGTTCAGAGAAGAAACAACGAAAGACAAAAAGGCAAAGCCACTGCTACAGACAGTGCTTATTAATGTGGGATCTCTTCGATCACCTTCATACAAAGGTTAAGTCATAAGCCCTGAGTTAATTTTGTTTGGATTTTTAAAAATGAAAGTCTCAGTGTGGAAATATTTTAAAGAAAAGTTATCCGAACCTGAAACTGATTCTATAGAGACTCTTTCTGGAGTCAAACCATCATGCCCTGTCTGACCACTTGCAAGGGACCTACATCTTCCTTCTTTCCAGCATCATAAAGTCCTCTCCTGTACCTCCTGGACAGTGCCCATCGCTCTGGGATCTGTGACTTGCAAGCTGGGTGACAGAGCTACAGGGGAAGAGTTCACCCCAAGGCATGCAAACGACTCTCACCAGGATTCTCGGCCACACTAGCCCTAGGCCTCTGAGGGTCTCAAAACATAAGACATGAAACTGATGAACAACAATAGCAGTGAAACTTCCTTAACCTTCAGGTCTCAAAATCCCTGAAAGGTAGCTGTCTGCTTCCCTTCTGCTATACGTTTGCCCTTTCTTTGCGTACAACCTCGTAATACTTATAAATGAGCTGAGAAATCATCTCTCAACCTGTCCTTGGCCCCACCCACTAAAGAAACACTCTGTCCAAGAATGAAACATCCAGAGGGCTTGAGAAATAGGATGTAATGAAAAATTTTTAAAAATCAAAATTGATATTTTTGTTCCATTATGCCAGGAGAGACCTCCTTGCCCTGCAGTGAGCTTTTATCCAGTAGTGGGCCTTGCGTCCACCCCGACACCCTACACCTTGTTGCAGTCATCTTGCGAAGAGCACCAGGTAAGTTCCAAACCTTATTTCATTAGAATGCAACATTCCACAATAGCTGAGTGGCAGAGTCAGGCAGGCAAGCAAGTAAGCTTGGATTGAGTAGAATTAACCATCTTGGGAGTTGGATCAGTGCTAACGTGCAGCAAAACAGAGGCTGGGATGGGAGAACAGAGGTAAGAAGACCCTCATGCTCACCACATAGGCTCTATGGGGGTGGGAGGAGTCTGTGCAGGGAAGGGAGATACTGGCTGAGAGGTGGATTATGGGGTCTTTTCTTTGTGGCCCCAGAGTCAAGGGAAGTCAAAATCCAGAACATCTAGAGTTCAGCTTCTGGGCAATGTTCTTGGTGATCTCAGTGCCCTACAGAGACGCTGGGTAGGGACTACAAGTGAAGCCCAGAATAAAAACAGATTCTTCAGCTAGAAGAGCAGCACAGACCCCCACTGACAATTGTGTTCATGACTCAGGTGGAGCCAAGGGGATGCTAGAGGGGGTGAGCCCTTCACGGGGCCAGAAATTCTATGCTGACCCTGGCTCAGGGGTACCTTGGCTGGAGCCCTACCCCTGTCCAATGGTCACTGGCACTCTGTCCTCTAGGAGATGGGGAGACAGAGAAAGAGACAGACATGCATTCCCTACCTGGAGTCTGTCTTGGAGCCTGAGGTGAAAAGAGGGGTATCTAAATGGAAACCCATTTAGAACATCTCTCTGCCTTGGTTTTCCTTCCTCCTCCTTTTACCTTCCTCTTGTCTTCACTCTTTGAGGAGATGGTGAAGACAACATTAGCAAGAGAAACTAAACATATGACTTGAGTCTTCTGAGGGGACCGCCAGTGCCCAAATTTGATCTTGTGGTATATCTCAAACGCTGGCTGTAGTCTTTTTTTGCATGGAGTTTCTCAAGATACTGCTGTGATTTTTAACCAGAGAAAAGAATAGGTTTTGGGGTCTAGAGGGGCCTCTTTTCAAGGGAAAGAGAAGAGGCAGACTCTGACACCTAGCAAGGGAAAGCTGGCATTCACTTTTGTTCAGAGGCAGCAGAAAACCAAACGAGATGATGAAAATGAGTTTGTGACTCAACAGAAAATTATTTTATTTTCTGGTCTTAATAGAAGAGTAAGTGCAGGGTAAGGGGAAAGAAACCCAATTTCTTGGTCAAGGGAAGGTGAATAAAAGAAATCCACTGGCAAAAGAAAAACCAGGTGGTCAGTCAGGTGACCGCATCTGCAGTGCTTTCCAACACTTTATTGAGGACTCAAATACTTGTATGTATGAGTTCAAGGAGTTCAGGAAGGTTTCCTGGCACATTAAATTTAGTGTTTATACTATTTGCAGGCAAATTCCATTTCTGGGAATTGCTCTGCCAGCCTACAGTTCTCCTGTTGAAATGGCACAAGGTATCACTACAATTCCCTTTCTCAAAACACCATGCAATAGACTCACTGGCTCAGAAGGGTCAGTCCTGTTGTAGGCCTTCCCCTAGGGAAAGCTGCATTTCCAAGGTGGAAAAAGCAATTTTGTGCACACGAAGCAGCCCATAGCAGCACTTTGGCATGAAATGACGCTGAGCAGAGGAAACTTGAAAAACAATACAAGGCCCAGCGTCAGTGTTATGTAAGGATGACACCTATTAGGATCGGGGTGTCGTATGTCGCATTCCCAGCCACCCTCAAGCACGCAGGTGCTAAATAGGAGAGGAAAATGAAGATGAAAGAGGAGTTGAGGGTGGGAGAGCTCTGTCTCTGCCTCATTGGCCTCCTGTGTTGGGACAATTTTGGTTTGGAGGCTGACCGTGGGTCATGAAGCTCCATCAATATCGTAAGAGAAGGCAGGGCCATGACAAATTTTCCAGCCATGTGGTTGAATTTGGCTTTTCAGGGCTGATACAGCTATGCCTTATTTATATTTCAATTATTAAAAAATAGGGAAAAATAGGCTCCTTACAAGAAAAATAACAGCTCTGGATTGCTCCTGCCCAAGAGGAGGGTTGAGTCTGGGCTGGAGGGGTGTTTATCCACTGAGTGCTCAGTGCAGGGGTCCTCAGGGTCCCGGGTGGGAGGCTCCAACTGTCCCAGTGGGGAAAGGAGGGCCCTGTTGGGCACCCATTCACCTGCTGTGATGGCACTAACAAGGGACCGAAGGGGAAGGTACATTTCCACCACATGAAGCCAGTGATATGTCCCCTCCAATGGAGCTATATGCCATATGCCACAAGAGCACTGGCTGGGCAAGAAAGGGCTGTCTTGCTCAGTGCTTCTGCATTTGTTTGGGTAGTTGGGAATGACAGGGTGGGACTGTCTGCTCCAGCTCTTACTCTGGGGAGGGGTGAAGCCCCATTTTGGCTCAGGGGAATATGCAAGGTGACCAGGGCCCAGTCTTGTCATACTACTGCGTGATGAGGCCCCACTGGAGCTTGCTTTGCTAGGAGCAGCAGCCCAGGTCTAAGCTGAGGTATATTTACTAATCACCTTAAAGCATCTTGACAGAATGACCTGAACCCCACACCAGCTGCAGAAGCTGTGGTCCCAATGGTCCCTCAGGGGAGGTCCTCAGTCATTCCTGACTTTCACAGAAGCTTATTTCAGTCTATCAGCTTTTCCCATCTTTACAGAAGTCCCTACCCAGTGGCGGATAGCCTACTTGGATATGTGTGTTCTCCCCTCCCGGGGGAGTGGCAGGAAAGGCTAGACCTTTGCATTTGGCCTTACTGGGCTTGGCACAGCACTGGCCTTGCTGCCTCACGGACCAGAGTGCGGGCTGACGCTCAGCCAGGATGTGCTGGTGTGGCCGTAGCACTGTCACACATATTTGATTGCTTCTACACCGGCTGGAAAACAGACTCTGTTCCGAGTCCCTTAGGTGGCCTCTGCTACTCTACCCACACCCTCAGGGTTCCCTGCTGCCCAGCATCTAAAGAGCCAAGGCCTGGAACAGCATGGGATCCAGCGCTAGGACCAAACTCCACTTGCACTGATGCCAGAGCGGTTGTTCAATACTTTTACCTTCACCCTTACCAGAGCCTCAGGCACCCTGTGGACCCTGAGGGACTTCCTGACCTGTCCTAACACTCGGCACCTGCTGTGTGGGTGACAGGCCTCAGGGATGGGGTGCTATGCCCCCAGCACCACCAGTTCTGTTTCTCTGACCGTCTCCCTCATGGTAGGGGCTGCCGGGCTGTGGCTTTTCTCACCCAGACCAGCCCTTGCTGCTGTTGCCTCAGCACCCTGACCCTTTTCGCTTCAGCTTTCTCCTCCCTCCCTGGCATCCGATGTTCCTGACTTAGCCTGTGCCGCCCTGGCAGAAGCAAGCCACAGGGCAATGCATGAGATGCTGCTGCCGTTGCCCCGGTGGCAGTGGTGCTGGGTGAGGCGTAAGAGCTGGCGAGGGAGGAGAGTCGTCTCCTATGGTCTCCACTACTCCCCAGTTAAGAGCCAGAAAGTCTTCCGGGCTTCTCAGGGCACTGAGTGTAGACGTAGGCCAGCTCAATCCCTCCACGGCTTTTAGAAGAGTGGGAAGGGGCAAAGGGAAGCAAAGCCATCCTCGTGTCCCTTCTTCCACAGGAATAACCCTCCACGCTCCTGTGTTTTCTTTCCCCAGCAAAGAGGCAGAACTATGGCAGTGCCCATCTTGCAAAGGGGAATAAAGCAATTTGGTGGGTTTGACTGGTGTTCCGATTGTCCTTTACTTCCTCTTCTCTGATAATGCACGGTGTCCCTTCCATCTTCCTTTTCCCTCTTCCTCCCCCCCGGGCCGCACTGGCTTCCCAATTCTGTCTTGGTTTTCTCCATGTGACAGAAGAGCATGCATCGGAGGGGGGAGCAGCCTCTAGCATTTGTCATCTTCTTCCGTGTCACTCAGCAGGTTGTTGACAGCCCCACACATCATGCCTGGCCCAGGCCCCCCACGCCTCCGCCGCCGATAGTGCCCGTTGGGCATCTGCCAGCTGTGCCGCAGGGGTGGGGCAGAGCCGATGGTGTTGGAACGGCCCAGGCTAGTAGCCACAGCTGCTTCAAAAGTGAGCGTCTCCTCCTCGCCACAGTCTGAGGCGTGGGAGTCTTCATGCTGGGCCAAGTAGGGCTCGGAGATGTAGCGCTGTGGGGAGATGTGTTGGCCCTGCTGGGGGTGCGGGGAGTTGGAAGACTCGGTCAGGCAAGCGCTGTTGCTCTCCAGGGCTTGGGAGGTTAGTGGGGAGCCCTCCTGGCTTCCATCAGCAGGCGGAGAGATGCTGCCCGCATGTCGAATCAGGGAGCTGTAGGAAAGGAGGGGCCGGGGCTTTGGGGGGACGGGCGGGAGCTGCCGACGACTTCTTCTTGGGGTGCTGGTGTCAGAGACAGAGGGGATGGAGCTCTCACTTAGGGAACCTGTGCCCTGTACAGCAGGAGAGACGTGGCATGTTAGACTGGGCTTGGCATGATCCCTGTTAAGGTCCCTACCTCCTTCTAGAGAATTCTGGGGGGGGGGGGGAGAGGCCTGAGCTGGAACTCCCTGTGGTATTCACATCCACCCAGGGACACAGGGATTGAAGCGATTAAGGAGTCAAGAGCATTTAGATGAGGACATCTCAGACTTGAATGTGCACACAAAGCCCCGGGATCTGGTTAAACTGAAGACGCAGACTCAGATGATCTGGGGTGAGGCCCGAGATGCTGCATCTCTAACAAGCTTCCAGGTGATGCTAGGAGTGGCAGGCCTGTGGAGAGCACACTGGGACTACTAAGGAGGCTCTGCCTGTGTAACAAGGGGCACGCTGAAAGACAGCTCCGTGGAAGGTGAGCAGACGCTCTGGAGTTGCTCAGTCTGGGAAACCCTTATTCCTACCCATGTCTTCAGTGGCTTGCTGAACTCAGCTTCTGTATGTGGCACACTCAGCTGCTGGCTCAGGCCACACTTGCCCTAACCTAAACCTCCAGGAGAACATTTCTTAAGGTAGGTGTGACCTATGAACCTCCTGCTCAGAATCCTAAGGAGGGGTCTTTTCAAAGGCAGACTTCTGGGTCTCACCAGAATCCTTCAGGCCCCAGGAATGTGCAGTCCCAGTTAGTTAGCTTTGTAGGTAATTCAATTCTGAACTAAAATGTGAAAACTGCTGTGTCGCTGAAGGTCTGCATTAGCAGCCCTGCCTTTTCCCCACTGATCATTTCTGTTGAGGGGGTCGAAGTGCCATGAATAGACAGAGGGCTGTAGTGAAGAGTGACACAGAGTGGAAGAATGTTTTCACACAGCCCCACTAGTTATTCCTTAGGCACCAGGCTGCTGGTTCAGCAAAAGGCATGGTCTTGTCGGGGCTGCTGGAAGCTAGGTAAATGAGGGTGAACTGCTCCGACTTATGAATCCTGAGCTGAGGGTTGAATCACCATTCTCACAAATACTGATTATCACAAGATGGTCAAAGGAAGCTTTCTGGCTGCAGGACCATCATCTCCTCCCAAATCTGGCTGAGACATCTGTCAACCTATTTATATCTCTGGATTCTGAAGTGACCTCTAGACACCATATTTCTTGGGCGGGGTGGGGGAGTGGGGAAATCTGGTTTCCTGTGAATTCAGATCATCTCTGAGTACACAAGCATTGAGCAGCTAACCTCTGATGTACTATTGGTATAGTTTCCTGTGAAACTCCAGCCTTTCTGGGTGCTTGAATGTGGTTGCTAAATGCCCATGATTTGCACCTAATGATACAGCCCACTCTCTTCCCTGTCCTCCTACTGTAGGCCGGCTTCCTCTCTGTGCTCACCTGTCGGTTGGGCGTCTGTGACCTGCCCTCACTGGGTGACCTGGATTGACGGCGCTCTGGGGACTCCCAGTCAGCCTGGGTCCCTCGCTCCTCTGAATTGCAGCGGGAGACATCAGGAGAGAGAAGATGCTTTCGCTCTTTCGATCGTCCCCTCTCCCTGCCCCCTGAGCGGTGAGTGTCAGACTTGTGGCCTGTGAGAGGTGACAAAAGCACTTGGTTATAAGTCTGACCATGATGATAAAGAGACTTCTGTCTCAGCATCACATCACAGCCTGGAGTTGGACCCTCAGAGGGACCACATGTTTGTGGCCCCTCCAAATTCAAATCTTGAAGCCTAACTGATTCCTGATGGGATGGTGTTGGGAGGTGATTAGGTCATGAGGGTGGGGCCCCCATGGTGAGATTAGTGCCCTGATCAGAAAGTGCTTGCTTCCTTTCTCTCTGCTCTCCATCATGTGAGAACAGAAAGAAGGCAGGGAGCTTCTGGCACCTTGGTGTTGGATTTGCCAGCCTCCAGAACCATGACAAACACGTGTTGTTTAAGCCACCCAGTCTGTGGTAATTTGTTGTAGCAGCCTGAACTAAGGCCCCTAAAAGAATCCTGGCTTCTCCAAGCATGTCAAAAGATGATGAGAAAGACAGGCTGGAAAATTACCTATTTTGTGAGCAGGTAAGTTTGCAAGGTGCCACTAGAGATACATATGTCAAAGAATCTATTCTGCTATTTATGCTACACACAATATGGAATTTTGGTCAACAATATGGCTCAGGAATTCTCTATATCATAAACATGGCTGTGCAACTTTTGGGCAGGGAAGGTGGCGCCAGCAGAAGGGAATTAAGAAGTTTCTATGAACTAAGTAATAACCTACTAACAATGCTGGGGTGAGAAGCCCAGGATTGAAATGAAAGAATCCCAGTTCCAGTCCCAATTCTGGCACTTAATGGCCCTACGACATGGGACAAGTCACTGCTTTTTCAACTTTCATTCCTTTATCCAGTAAAATAAAATGGTTAAACCAGACTAATAATTTGCTTTTTTAAAAACAACAACAACAAATGCTTAAATGAAACTCTAACACAGGCAATAATTCCAAGTAGCACTGTTTGGGTTGCAGTGGAATTGGTGGTTAAAGCTCAGTCCTCACAGTGGGTCTCTAATAAAAAGCCCCAATGGTTTTACAGAAGACTATTTGAAAACCTCTCTCAATTGTAATGATTTGTATAGCCCTGCTCCAGAAGGAAGGGATTGTACCAGCCGTTATGGTAAACACGGAGGAGAGCTTTGGCCTGTTTCATGATGTAAGTCACATATAGGAATTCCCTTCGATAAGGAGAATCCCTCACTTCTACCCTTGTCTCTGTCTGAATTCTTTTCTGGTTATTTACAGTCCTCACCGGAGTAAGTCCATCAGGGCAGGAACTCACTGCCCGATAAGAGAGCTGGACACTGAAGACCTCCTCACCTGAATCAGAGTTCAGACGGTGGGCTGACAGCCGCAGGGAGGAGTGGTAACTCCGGCGACGGGACTTGTAGGTATTTTCACTGCTTCGCTCCATGGAAAATTCCTCCAACCACGAGGAATTTGAACGCTTATCCCGAATAGTGGAAAATGAACGTCTCATGGAGCTAGGGTCTGTCACCACCTGGAAATAGAAGCCCCCAGAGAAACACAAGGTATGGATTAATGATTGAAAAAATCTAAAAGCACAGAAGCAGCAGGACTGAGACTATGAGGATGGGAAATTGTAACCCCTGCAAATGGTAACATCCCTTGAATCTCTCTTGCTCAAACCTTAGCTGGAGGGAACTGTTCAAGAAAGTAGCCTTACATTAACACAGTCACTGGAAATGGCCCAGGATCTTTTCTTCCTGTAGCTGAGTGTACCACGGCAAAGCGAAGCAGACTGCAGGCAGGCACTGTGCAAGCTCCCACAGAGCCCTCTACCATGGGGCACAGTCAGACTGCAGCAAATACTGTGCTGCTTTGAAACATGTGAGGGCAACTGTCTAAAAGGCTACCCCATGAAAGAAGCGTGGCTCTGCTATTTTTTTTAATGCCCTTGCCAGAGAAGGCCCTGCCCTGCAGCCCTAAAGCCTAGGAGAGCTTGTGATTTAACAACTGCTAAGAATGTATCACTCTCCCTCTGCCATCAATCCACCTAGCCCCATTTTAAATTCTGGCCTTTTGATTTGCCACAGATACTAAAACAAACCCACAAGAACTTCTTGTCTCTGTCAAAACCTGATGTAAGACAGACAGACAGGAAACAGCCAGGAAAACAGACAAAGAAATGAGGCGTGGCCTGTACTGGTTAGGACAGACAGTCCTGACACGGACCTGTGTGTGTAAGTAACTGCATATGTGCTGGAGGAGTCAGGAAATGAAAAAAGGATGGGAAAGTACACAGAAAATCCGGAAGATATTATTTGCATGGCTGGTTGAATCTTGAGACTGTTTAGCCCATCCAGAGAGAAGTATGCAATTTTGTTGACTGGGCTGTTGTGGTTAGGGGGTCACTGAAAACACTGGAGGAGCAGGCTCTATTAGAGAAAGCCCATGAACCACGTTTTATTTAGAGGGAAGGGGTGTGGGCAAGTCAAGGGCTCACCTGCAAGTATCGGATATTATTCTATAACCCACCTAATACAGCCCAGATGCCACTGCATTAAGGTAGGTGGTTGCTTTTTACCTGGGGATCCACAGTCAGACGTGGCATAGAAGATGCCCTCCCAGATCCCGCATGCTCCTGGGTATCCGAAGGAAGGTAGATGCCACGGTTAGAGGGCTGCACGCTTTTTAATTCACTAACCTCTGGCTCCTAGAAATAAACACACAGCCATGCTCGTGGGACTTGGTTCCATCTCATTGCATCTCATGTCCAGTGGACAATTCAGCCGCCTCAAGAATGGCTTTCAAAAGAGAGACTTGCAGCTTTTAGGCCTCAGTTGTATGTATATGTGTTTTTGTGTGCACATACGTGCTCTGTGTCCCAGGCAGGAAGCTCTAGCTGGGTAACCACGTTGTAAAAGGTAAGTGAAATTTAGTCACATTTAATTTAGCTGAATATATCCAAATATTAGCATGTCAACATGCAATCGATATAAAAATCAGAGAGTTTATATTTTGTTTGCACTATCCACCTGTGGCTAATGGCTATTGTTTTGGATTGAGCCAGCCTGGAGTGTTATTAGGTTGGATTGGAAATCTCTAAGGTTCTGTCGTTCTTGTTAATTTCCTGGTTAAAGACAGTTAGTTTGGCAGTCGTGCATGCTCTATACAGATAGCGGTGTCATTGCATAAAGAGCTGTATGGGAGATGTTTACATGGGCTACCCAACAAAGAGAGCTAAGAACATCTTGGGCAGATGGAGATCATACCAGAAAAAGCTATTTTATATTTAGCAAATGACACCCTAAAAACATGTAGGCATCGCCCAAACGAAAGAGTATCTGGGACCCCCCCCTCCTTAGCCTCTCTGACCATTTGGCTGAGTGGTTTCTCGTGTGTATGGGAGTGGTACTTTCCCAAGACATGTGCTATGTGCACTTAAGGGAGTTATAGTGTTTGTGGTACATGCTTTATACAGCACACGGTTCTGACTCCAAACAGATGCGGTAACAACACTGCAGTCTACAGGTATCAGAGGCGGTGTGAGACGCACACTCCATATGCACAGACACAGTCATGGGACTGTGGACGTGGAGCAGGGGCCCCGAGGGATGGGCAGAAGTACACACAGTGGTAAGTGTGTAGCACAGGCTGACACCTGAATTGAATTACAGACACCAGTACTGACAATGAGATGAACACATATCCAAAAAGTCCTGGCACTATGGCTCAGCCCTGGGGAACCCGCAGAAATGATGTCATAAAGTCTCCCTGTGAAAGAAAGGACACATTATTGCGATTTTTTTCCCCACTAGACACATCACCAGGCAGACAAAAAGCTGTGAGGCCCTTTTAAGAATCCAACTATCTATAGCAATTAGCCCTAGGTCTTGGTGCTAAGTTCCTCACAGGGGATCGCAGGGGATGACTCCAGGAGTTCCTACCCACCTCATCAAGAACACCCTCAGGCAGTCAGTCGCTCAGCCCTGGGGGTATGTGGACTAGCTGTCTTCCCCAAACCACTATGCAGGATTCTCTGTCTCAGCATTCGCAGGAGATAGAATCACACAGTTGTTGAGCTACTGAGGGTTTATCGCCCTCTGAGGGGGTGCTCATTCCCTCATACATCATTATTCATTCAGCACAGTAGCAGTGAGGAGGGAAGAGCCACGGATGAATCAATTTAAATGATATGGAACTCACTTAGTACAAGCTGTCTGTACAGACTTTTGCAATTCTAAGCTGAGGCTGGGGTGGGGGACCTTGAGCTAATGGCTCCTGAACCAGCAATACTGGTAAAGTCGATGATGCTTAGGAACCATATTTTAGCTTTGTATTAACTAAGCCAAAACTTCAATCTCCCTCTCGTCTTTAAGCTTGTCTCACTAGGTCTCAGGAATTTCACCACTTATGCTAATAAACTTATTTTGGGGTCAGGAAAGTGACTTTAGGGGCCTGTAAGAATGTCTTTGACTTTGTGGAATTGTGACCAAAAGGGACAATGTGCCTGAACCCACACAGAGCAGAGGTAGGACAGTCTTCTGTACCTCCTGGCAGATGGCTCGTCACTGTGGCATATGCTGCCACTGGGCATCACTAAGGAACGGCATGGGGCAGTTGTGTGTCCCACAAGCAGTACCTAGCTACACTAAGAGGCATGGTTAGTGTCAATCATTCTTTGGTGAGGCATCTTCAAGCTCCCCATCAAAGGCGAGATTTTATATGTGACTTTAGGTCTTAAGTTCCTGCTGCAGGGAAGGGACCGCTTAGACTGTAGAACTGGAAGAGGGAACATTTTCAGACCACACAAGAAACTGAGCTAGAAAAGGGCTGAGGCAGGACACCCCCAGGGCAATTGGCTGGACTACCAGAAAGGATTTCCTGACGGATCATGACTATGTAATAAAAGTTACTGAGAGGGATCAGGAAACCAAGGAAGTATTTTCGAGGTCATATAACTCATGCATTCACCAGAGACTGCTGTTCCTGGAACTGTCCATCATCAGCAGGGTCCATACAAGCCAACTGGAATATCTCCTGTGGAGAGAGTGGACTCATCGAAGGATATCCAGTCCGGCCACTCCTGAAAAACAATGTCCAATCCAGAGGTAATGAGGGACAGTCATGTCACGGCTGCCACTAGCAATTCCCACCCCAGCAGGGCAATACCTGTTAGCCTTGACTGGCTTTCGTAAGTCTGATAACTTAAAAAAAAAAAAAAACACTGGAGAAGACAGACTGGTGTTTTCGACCTGCATCCTGCCTTTGGAACCATTCATTATTCTGCTGGGGACTAGCATATCTGCAACAAATGACATCATTTGTCCCACTCAGCCATATGGAAGACCAACACTAGATTGTAAACCTGTTTCTGCTCAGTTTCCCCATGTGGTGGAAAAAATACAATAGTTTACACAGTGAACAGTTTGTTTCAATATTAAGCAGCCATGGTCTTTTTAAAACATTTCCCTACTCACAGTAAGAATATGGTCTTATTTTGCCAATATCCCCGGCCAAACTAAACAGTCCAATTCCGTTACCATTTATTGAAAGAGTACTCTGTACCATACGCTAAGTCTGTTGGTTCATGTACTGAGAAGGATTTCAGATGTGGTGGTGAAAAAAGAGGACAGGGATAAAGTCCGCCCAGGGTTTAGAGGTCTCCAAGTGAAAAGAATGGAGAACTGGCACAGAATAAACCACTGTCTGGTACTTCCAGACACTCTTAACCTGATGGGATGCACTGGACTGGTTTGGAGAGCAAGAGGCAGCCAAGCTTTCTGGAGAATGTGGTGCCTGTTGCCAAATTATTGGCTGACTGCCACCAGTATGGTGATAGCCACCGTCTGACCTGCTCAAGAACACAGAGTGAGCTTCCAGATAATGGAACTGGGGTCAGTGGCTGGGCAGCAGCTCTCTTGGTGGTGGAGTTAGTTAGGAGGGAAGAGATGGGATACCATCTCTTTTAAGTCTATTGCTGATGACTCTGCATCCCATGGAAAACTCAGGGCATGAGCAAGGATTGTCAATTACTTAAAAACATCCATAGGTATGGTTTTTATATTAAAGGGAAAGATCTGAAAAGCAGAGAATCACCTAATCTGTCCCCTTCTGACAGTGAGAGCTTTTGCTGAGTTTTCACAGCTGCTAGAGAGTGACCTGATATTTAAATGACCTTCCTAAATGTCTGTCATCTTTCTCACTGTGGCATCGCCAGAGAACCACTGAGAACAACATGAGCACAGCTAGTATAAGAATGGGTTCTCAGCTCTGCGCTACGGCTCACACCTGTCCTCTCAGCACTAGGGAGGCCAAAGTGGGAGGACAGCTTGAGCTCAGGAGCTTAAGATCAACCTGGGCAACAGAGTGAGATCATGTCTCAGAAAGAAAGAAATGGGTTCCTTTTTGTCCTACAGGGAGTAATTACAGAATCCTTAACAGAGGGAGATGATCCTTGGAAACACTTACCTGTCTCACAGAGTTGAATAAGTGGAACTTTGAAAACTTTATCAAGCTGGGGGATAAAGTCCAGAATTCTGAACACTGTCTCCCTCACGATCCCTACCTCACCAGCCTCCTCTTGTACCACTTTCCTATTTGCTCCCTGCATTCCAGACACGCCAGCCGTTTTCAGTTCATGGGATATGCTAGGCTTGTTTCTGCCTCAAGATTTTAATAGAGGCTACTCCAAGAGTGTAGAACACTTATCAGAACTATAATTAAATAACTGAAAATGCAACTTTTCTTCTATCTAATAATCCTCTGTTTAATGTCTGGTTTTCCATCAGATTTGAGGGAGTGACCCTATCTGTTATGTCCACCACTGTACCCCTAGATCAACCTCTACTGAGCAATGCATGGCTCCAGAAACACAGATGGTTCTGAGGAACCAGGCTGCTATTCCACCAGTGTCCCATTTTAGGAAATGTATTAACATGCACCCAAAGGCTTCACCCAGAATCCTTTGCTTCCTCCTTCCCCTTTAGTCCGTGTAGCAAATCAATCACCAAATCCTGTCTGGTCTATCTACTAAATATCTCAAGTCTGACCATCTGTCTCCATCTCTAACCCACTCATCCAAGCTACCATCACTGATAATGTACACAACTGCAGTAACCTACAAAATGGTGTTCCTGCCTCTAGAACTGCTCCCCTCCAATCCATTTAGTCTCTACTGAATTTAAAAAAGCACACAACTGATCACATCATTCTGATGCATAAAACCTCACCATCCTAAGACAAAATGCAACATCTATCCTGCTTATAATGCCCCCAAAATACTAGCCCCTGTGTATCTCTCCAAATCCACAACTTAACACCTCCCCTGAGCTCTCCATGCCCCAGCCATCATGACAGCCTTTAGGTTCCTTAAACTCACCATATTTTCTCTTACCACTCTTGAAGAGCTTGTCCTCAAGTCTCACTCAAATGTTACTTCCTCAGGAAGGCCTCTCTAAACCCTCAAACTGGGTGAGCTGTTTCCACGACATCACAACAGCCCACCCCTCAGCACTGTTTGCCTGTATTGCTCTTGTAATTTCTTCTTCCAGATTTGTCTCGGTGGGGACTTGTTCTCTGCTGTAGCCTCAGTGCCTGAGCCAGCTCTGGGGCCATACTGGCTCTTAATAGATATTGGTAAAAATCAATGAGTAAATGGATCAATAAATATATGGGGAAAAAAGCCGAAGTGATCCTATAGTGGGGGTTAATTTGCATAGCAAATTGCTGTAGATAAAACAGAGATTGCAATTAAGGGGTTGGTATCCCTCATTTCAAAGCTAAGGACTGGCCAAAAAGTGTAAACCCTTCCAGTGGAGCAGTCCCACTGTTCCGATCATACTTCCTTCCCTTCCTCTTACAAAGACAGAAAATAAACACTGACTTGTTTTCTGTGGACAGGAGAATTCACATCCTGCACTTCATCACATCAAATTGTAAACAAACAACACCAATGGCTTTGGCCTTGGTCTGACTCTGGTCCTTTTCTTCTCTTCCAAAGGTGTTGGACTTTATCTCTGAAAACAGTGCTTTTCAAAAACAGATCTCCAGCACCACAGGCAGAAAGCAATCAATGATCTGGGCAATTCCAAATGGCTCCAACAGAGGTCTCATTCTCAAGCCCTGAGTATCACTCCCCTGATAATTAAGTTATGCAATTTAGTGATTTCTGGTTTATAAGAACTGGGACTTTGTTAAACCCAATCACAAAAGCTCACTTACATCGAGTAAAGACTCACGTTCTTTGGATACTCACTAAATGCTTGCTGATGATCAAAATATAGTAAGATACATATGCTATACAGTAGATAAATTGAGGCTAAGGCTTATCACTCAGAAGGATAAGAAAATTCCTTAATTTGGATTTTATTTCCACTTCTATTATAGAAAAAGGTCCCTTTCTGAATAAAGGCCCCTTTTGTTCATTAAAGAAAACATGGTATAGTGAAAACACTCTAGGGTCAGAAATAACTGACTTAAATTCCAATTCCATATTCTACTAGCCGTATGACTTTAGGCAACGTAGTTAACCTCACTTAGTCTCCAGTTTCTTCATGTGTAAGGTGATATTAATATATACCTCCAGGGTATAGTAGGCTGCTGGAGTGGGAATCAAGTGAGATCCTGCAAATAGTGTCTCTAGAAGTGTCAACCTCAGGGAAAGCAGTAACTGCTGGTTCTCTTCCCCTCTTACACTCAGTCAGCATGACACCCGTGAGGGAGGTTCTATCTTCCAGCGGGACACTAGATCCATGGGGAAGCGATAACCAAGAATTAGATAGGAGATGATGATTCTTCACAACAGAACTACAACTAAGACCCAAGTGGATTAAAAGACAAGTCAAACTCCCTTCTTCTATTGTTGATTCACAATGATCGGTGTCTGAAGCTAACCACAGTGCTAAGCATGCTTAGTCTGTTTTTCTTACTCCTGCTGAAAATCATTTTACAATATCCAACTTCAGATAAAGGATCACTCAAGCTCAGAGTATTCTTTCTTAGGCCCTTCTGAGCAGTGAGTTTTGGGGTCTGCACAATGGCATGGGTGACAGATGGCAAGCAGCCATGCCAGAGACGTTTTGGTGCTACTCACAGGCCTGAAACGGGGTCCTGCTGGAGGTAAGGCAGGGCTTTGGCATTAGCAATAATCTCCTGAGGCAGAGATGAGGGCTCCATGCGCTGGAACATGGGGGCATTTTTCTGGGTTAAAAAAGAAAAAGGGAAGGAGAAGAAAATTCCAGTGACTACGGAGTTTGCTATGGGGAAAATAGTTTACATGGATAATACAGGCATATAACTTACTCTTTGTGTGACTACTTTAAACTTCGATCCACTGGGTTTCTAATTCCACATCACTAGCAAGTTCTTGGGCCTGCACCCATTACTGCTGCTTCTAAGTCCCTGCAGGGCACTATGCCCCAGGAATGCACAGGCCTATCCCCTCCTGGAACTCCTCACGGCCCACCCGCTTAGCATGCTGGCATTGACCTTCACCTGTTCCTCCAGCTGCTGCCTCTGCTTCTTCACCTTACTCTGCTTATAGTAGTCCATGATCATCATTGCTGCATAGATTTTGCCCACAGTCAGGTCAGAGGCTAAAAACACAAATGTGGCATGACAGTGAAGAGGGGGAAGATGAAGGGAGAGATGAGGAACCTCTAAGATTTGTTACCCACTCTGCAGCAGGTGTGCACTGTCAGTTACCCATTCAACCAACCTATGGTGAGGGCCCCCATGGTGCCAGGCTCTAAGGATACAGAGTGCATAGGTCCTCGATCTGTCCTCAGGGGGCTTGCATGCCCACCTAGTGATGGTTATGATACGGAGGATAGGCAATACATGAGTAAGCATCACACCTACCATCCTAAATCTCTACAGCTAAGTGACAACATCCTTTCCCCCAGGAGGCTTTGCTGAGCAGTATTATGTAGAGGGAGAGAGCTATACCCAGGAAGTCTCATCCACAACCACTGTGACCTATCTTAAAGAACATATTTTCAATTAATAATGACCAAAGGGACTTAACGATAAAAGGGCAAACTTCCCTTATCTCTTCGATCGCTCTTGGTTTCCCCAGAAGATGTGGCCTTCACATGCTGGGCCCACAGTGACAAGGATATCCAGGAGAAGACCCGAACCTTTGGGCATGGGCACAAGCAGATCCAGCATCTTCTGGGATAGGTGGGGCCAGATGGCTAGGGTCTCCTTTTGTAGCTCCGAGTCTAGCTGCTGCCTGTCTGCACCACCTAGAAGAAGATCCATTACTAGCAAATAGATCAGAACAGACCCAGAAATAACAAGGACTGAGGGAAGAGGTGGGGGTAGGAGCTGAATGAGCAGGGGACCTCATATTCTAAGAGGAGATCTTGGCATTTAGTGATGGTGGGTCTCGCAATACCAGGTCTTTCTGCTGAAGAAACAGAACACATTTTGGCTCCCGTTTTCAGTGACTCAGAGATATCCTGCCAAGAGATCTGAGGCCCTGAGACTAACAGCAGCTTCCTCATTCATTCTGAAAGCCTCCCAGGTGCTCAGTATACCAGAGGAGAAAATTAAAATAGCCGCAAGTACATTCCTCAGCCTTCTTATCCATACATCAATCCTTCCAGCAACCCAAACTCCACAGTCTGAGTGACCTCATTTTACAAGGATTTAGATCGGGCAAGAACAGAAAGGCCAAAGGTCCAACTGGAAGTAGTAGTAAACCTGTTCTCTCCTAAATCAGTGATTAGAAATCAAGAGGAATAAAATACTACCAGGGCCTCTATGGTAGCACCTTCTGCTACAGACGCCTCTCAAGACTTCAGAGAAAATAAGCCATACGTGGAAAAGGAGGATAAAATTAACCTTTGGTCAATAAATATTTCTAGAATACATATTATAAGCCAGACACTAAACAACATATACTTTTAACTCTGAAAGCAGCCCCAGAGATGATCAAACCATTCTCTGTACCAGAAGGAAATGGCAAATATTAGTTATTGAGTCAGATACTTGATGTTCAGATGACTGCATTGTTGTGTCCTTAGCCGGATGGATGATAGTTCAAATATCTCCGTCCTGTGCCACCTGCATGAGTTGTTCTAGAATTCCTCCTTCCCACCTCCCTTCCGAAGCTTACCTTTGGCAATTTTAATGTCCAGAGCTGTCCGGATCAGAGCCATAAGCGTGGAGGTGAAGTGTACCGTCATGTCCTCAGCTACTGGCATGTTCATCAGGACCAGCCTCTGTGTGGAAGAGAAAAAAGAAAGAGCAGGAGCCAGAGCTAGACACCTAAGAAGAAGGTAAGGC